TATTTCAGTTTTAAATAACAATTAGATTTATTCTATTGAAAGCGGACGGGTCACGGACTTTTCAGATTCGGTAGCATGATTGAAAATAATGTCTTTTGTTCAATCATAATAAATTGTAACGTAGCATTCATTTTTCATCTCTTTTCTACATCTTCTTTTCTGTCATTCATTCCTATTTAAGTAAAAAATTAAGGGATAGTGAAGGAAAAATCTCTCGTTCGTTAATAAACAGTTCAAAATTTAAGCCTCACCATATTGCCTTTAGAATTTAGCCTTTCAAATATTTACCATTTTGGTTTCGTAATATTGTTCGATGTGAGTCTATCTTCAAGAAGGATTACATGCACTTAACTAAGTGTGCCAGCCAATGTCTTGTTCATAGAAGAAGATTGTTAAGATATACTACATTAATGTCTTATGTACCTAATACTAAAAACAGATATTGCATAACCCAGGTATCTACGTACTTGGCCCCGACATTGAACCTTGCGAGACACTGTAAAATAAAAAGTAAAATTTCTCTTTTATTGCGTGAAAGTCACTTGCAGAATAAAATTACTATGAAATGCGTAAAACAAAGCTAATTTAAAAATATTTTTTATTTATTTTTAGCACACATTATAAGAAATTCTTCAGCTGCAAGCGATGATTAGTTATTCAAACGTATTTAATGAGTTGAAATCCCATAATTATTATTTTTTTCAAATTACTGAAAATTCCGGATGGTGACGGATTAAGAATACGGAGTGTCATCACCCTTATTCATCCTGTGGGTTTGTCGTAAAGCCGACTAATGGAGCGAACTATTCAGGAAAACCGCACTCCAAAGAGAAGAAAAACGTGAAACAAACCCTATACCAAACCGTCTGGCCAGCCAGGTACTGTCTACTGGTATAGTAGGCCAAAACCTCATTTCTAAGGAGAGGCCTATGTCCAGCAGCGGACTATTAGAGGCTATTGATGTGATGATGATGATGACTAAAAATTTGATACTTTAAAAATCTATTTGTATGATCAATAATGCTAGTAGCAAGCTGCTATTAGCTTTTTTGTTATATCCTTAATTTGATATTAAATGTTTCTTTAACACCGATTTTAGAAAATTAACATGAGCTTTTTAGATAGGTCATATTGCAGTTCTAAAAGTGTCCGGGTGAAAGAATTTTTAAAATCGATTTAGTGGATTAGGCGTGAAAGCGTAACAAACAAACGTAAGGACAAACAAACAAACAAACAAACTCACTTTCACATCTATAGAAATAAATAAAATTGGAGTGTCTGGTTGTAATATTAAAATAACCGCTTTTTACTAAATGCATATGTATGTTTACACGGTACATATGCCAAAATATCATTTTTTTTTAATTTTGTCTGTTTGTCTGTCTGTTTGTTCCGGGTAATTTCTGGAACGGCTGGAGCGATTTCGACGGGACTTTCACTTGCAGATAGCTGATGACATAAGGAGTAACTTAGGTTACTTTTTTAGACTAGCTTCGACCCGCGGCGTTGCCCGCGGTTATAACAACAAACGCGGGTAACACCGCGGGTCTCAGCTAGTTTATAATATAAGTATAGCACTATGGATTCTTCATATCATCTTCATTATTCTTATAGGTATTCATTTCGAGAAAATTGCATCAGTTTCTATGTCGAGAATAACAACATAAAAATACTGTCTATAAATACGTTTTACCTTGAAATTAAATTTACGAAAAATATGTAAATATTTGTTCATACTGTTAGAATATAGTTGTATTAGGTCCGTCAACTTGCCTCATGAACTTTGAGGATAAACTGTTTTTTTTTATGCAATATTTTTTATAAATAAAAAAAGACAGTTCTCTTGTTCAGTTGTAAGTCGATTTGAGCATCTCTTAAGCTTTCTTAGTTGGTTATAGATATCAACAGACGAAGAAGATAACATCGACAATCTATACAAATAAATAAAATTGGAGTGTCTGTTTGTAATATTAAAATAACCGCTTTTTACTAAATGCATATGTATGTTTACATAGTACATATGCCAAAATAACATTTTTTACCATTTTTGTCTGTCTGTCTGTCTGTTTGTTTTGGGTAATCTCTGGAACGGCTGGACCTATTTCGACGGGACTTTTACTGGCAGATAGCTGTTGACATAAGGAGTAACTTAGGCTACTTTTTTTAGACTAGCTTCGCCCCGCGGCGTTGCCCGCGGTTATAACAACAAACCCGCCTGGCCAGCATGGTATAGTAGGCCAAAACCTCCTTTCTAAGGAGAGGCTTATGTCCAGCAGTGGACTGTTATAGGCTGTTGATGTGATGTGTTGATGTGATAACAACAAACGCGGGTAACACCGCGGGTCTCAGCTAGTAGTGAATAAAATTAATAATTCAACCTGACTAACATAATATTTACATCACTGTTCCTATGTACCTATATTACTTAGTTCTACGCACTTACAAGAAAACATTATGAAACTCATATAATAGCTCACTTTAGTTGATTAAGTTCTAGGAATATGTTCATGGGCGGCGATGGTCACTTTCCATCAGGTGACCCGTCTGCTCGTCTGCCCCTTTTGACATAAAAAAAATGATATAGCCCTAATGTAGTTTTATAATAAAATTAATAACTTAGTAGAAGGTAGGGCATAACAAATTAAATTAGAACATCTCGTCTCTATCGTATCTATCATGGAGAGTGCTCCTAAGAGTTGTTCAGTTGTCCCTAAAATCATTGAAGGAGGGCCTTCCATGATTCTAAGGACACAAAAGGCCCCCTGTTTTTTTTTTAAATCCCCTCGGATACCACACGCCGTAGTTATGTCGGACTCGAACCGATCAAAAACCGCACGCCGTTTTGGGTACCAGTAGCCGAGGAACCAGGTGTAACCTAGAAAGGAAATCCTTAGTACCTCGGACCATCTACGGCTGGTAGATGACCCCCTCCTGTATGGGGACACCATGTTCCCTATGTGCCGCCGGCCTGCTTCTGCTAGGGTGACAAAGGGCCCCCTGGCGGGGTTCATCTCCTGGAACCTCACTTACTCAATGAATAACAGCGAAGGAATCGCTTAATACCGGCTTTCTGTGGCCTATTTGTTTAGTCGCAGACCCGTTGCCTCATTCATTAATTATTTTGGAACCGATAATCTTATTCTTGACGAGGTGGAGATGAGGTGGTAAATCCCCTCGGATTTCCGGCTCCTTGGAGCCACAGGATCATGTTGACATTAAAAACTACCCCAACAGCCAGTCTCAGGCGCCCTATCCTGGGGAGGACCCGAACCATATTATTTCAGGTCCCCGGTATCCATTATTCAAGCATCTTAGAACTATTCGTTTTCCTTATTCCGATTTAACTTCTTCCTTAGTCCCGTCTAAAAATTATTATATTCCCAAACAGGGTTGTCAACAACAAGGTGGCAGGCCATACATGAACCTCCGAAAACTCTTTGCAGTGTTACACATTGCGCTGACTCCGAATAGGGTCCAAAAAGAGCAAGAGACTGATGACGATGACAAGCTTTTCGAGACACAATTTTTGCCTAGCACAACCAACCTGTGGAACGGGTTATCTTCTGCGGTTTTTCAGAACCGATACGACCTTTAAGAAAAGAGCGTAATCCTTCCTCAAAGGCCTGAGTTGCAAGGGTTCATGGGCCGCGGTAGTCGTTTTACATCAGGTGACCCATCTGCTAGTTTGCACCCTATACCATAAAAAGAAGATGCAAATGTTTTTTTATGGTGGTAAGTGACTACCGCTATCCTGCACTTTAGTTCTATCCCTCCCCTCCACCCGACTGATTTTCCTAGGTGCCCGGAGCCCTTGGTGTCACTCCGGTCGAGCTATATGTGCCTAAACATGTACATCTCCCACGGTACAACAAAATATAATACACTTGAAGTTAAGTCTACATATCTACATGTATTTGCCTCATATACCTACGTAGTCAGACTGGTTTGTTGCCAGCTTGTTTCATTATCAAGGTAACACATGTTCGGAAAGGACGTCTTACCTCACTGATCTTGAAATTGCAACTGCTGTGCTAACATAAACTACATATAACATAGAATAATAAATAAATTTATTAGAGGCCCTTTACTTCACATCACAACACATCAAAAGCCTTTAATAGTCCACTGCTAGACATAGGCCCTTCAATTCTCTAAAAAATTTCGTCCCGTAGTTAGCTTTCGTAGTCATACAGTAAATAACTATTTTTTTTAATGATTATCGTTAGTATACTTAGTTTATAAATAAAGTGAACATTTTGAAATTACGTAATTTTAACAGACTATTAAAAAAAACTAGGAAAAAAGAGCTGTTAACCTTTCAAAGTTACCATAAGGTACAAAAAATGACGTTTAGTCTCAAAAGAACTAACCAGTGCCGTACGCCAATTACTACTTAAGTTACGAGTAGACAAGTACTTATAGACGTAACACGTACGCGTTTACTTAGAAGTATCCCCTTTTTGTTCTGTATTCGGATATAAAAGCGGTTATGCAACAATAGAATCTTGCAAGGTTATAGTGTCCTACAATAATTTTCGATTGTCCATGACAGATGTTAACCAATAACTCGTAACAATTGTTAAGAGATATTTAGTGAATGTTGAAATCAACCCTATGGTCATTTCACAGTCAGCCGGAACCGCCTGGCCCGGCGTCACGCATGCGCAACTGCTAACCGATGAAAAATCCATTACACCCATTCATGCCCCACAGTTAGGTAACACGCCACATTTCCATCGAAATCCATACGCCGGCCTCCTAAGCTAATAAACGCAGATTTACAACTACTGCAAAATCGAAAAAAAAAACAATCTTAACTTGCAAAACACTGTAGTTTATCAATCAGTCACTCGCTACTTATACAAAGGCAAGGACGCTAGCTGTTTAGTTCGTGTGAACGTTTTGGTTATATCCAACCTGGAGGTGTACCGCACCGGCGACATACAATGGTTATTTAGATCTTACGTAAGCAAACAGCTGACAAGTAGTAGTCCACTCACCATTTCGTTTTTCTCAACTATCCAGTTGACAGAGCATATTTGGTACACGAAGTAAGCCCGCACCAGCTCGCTTGTTTTCTTACTTTTAAAGGCATTTTTCGGACTGCTAAATGTTAAATCGAGTTCGTCGCGCGGCGACGACGACGGCGGTGATGGCACAGAGGAGGATAACACGCGAACATTCCTCGGTGTATTCACCGCAAGCCGCCTGAGCAAAGACATGATTTTAAACACCGGGAATTTATTTGACGCTCACGACACAACACGCGCCCGTCGTCGGTAACTGACAACTGACACTGACGCTCGCTCGATAGTCGATACCGAGTCGTCTGCGCGCGCAGCCGATCCAATTTTAAAACCGGCGAAGCAGTACGGAGGTGTGTCGTGGAGTAGCGCTATGATTGGACGAGGAGAAGTCTATAGCCAGTACGCTTACATTATGACGTGTGTAATTATAAACAGGATTGTGCCATTACTTCTAAGACCGTGAACCAAGGGCAGATCATTGCAATCATTAGTCGATTCGAATTAGAATTAAATCGCGATCATTGTATCTTTAATGAGTTTTACAGTATAAGTAAACGATCTATTGTCTATTATCCTTAAACTTACTGCAAAAGCGTAAAAAACTGACATAAAATTTGTCTTAGATTTCCTGAAAACTTTTGTTTGACTTGACTTCAGAACTGTTGTAACTAAAATCCACGATATAAAAGGGTACAGGAAAATAACAAACCTAGACTAGGGACGATAAACTTACCTAATACAATATTTAATGACAATATAATAACCATAATTTCCAACTTCATTTGATATTTACATCATCGCCATTTATACAATGCAATGAGGGATACCAAAGACATCATTTTTGTTTATCTTAGCATACACTTTCACTATTAAGTATTGGTTAGAAATTAAATACATTTCTAACAAATACTTAATTAGACTCTGTATTATTGTAACTTTCTTCCATTTCATGGTGGTGTACAACAGCTGTTTCATGTTTCTATAAAATTTTACAAATATAAATGACTAGCTGACCCGCGCAACTTCGTCTGCGTCTCTCAATAGTAATAAATTTTCTCCGTTTTTGAAACATTCTTCATTGGTGCTCCGCTCCTATTGGTCTTAGCGTGATGATATATAGCCTATAGCCTTCCTCGATAAATGGGCTATCTAACACTGAAAGAATTTTTCAAATCGAACCAGTAGTTCCTGAGATTAGCGCGTTCAAACAAACAAACAAACAAACAAACAAACAAACTCTTCAGCTTTATAATATTAGTATAGATTAATACCCGTAATTTTTTATTCGTGTGATGACGGATTAGGAATACGGAGTGTCGCCACTCCTACTCACCCCGTGGGTGACGTAAGAACCGACTAAGGGAACAAACTACGCAGGACAACAGCACTGCAAAGAGAAGGAAATCTCGAAACAAATACTATACCAAACCGTCTGGCCAGCGTAGTATAGTAGGCCAAAACCTCCTTCCTAAGGAGAGGCACACAGCAGTGGACTATTAAAGGCTGTTGATTATGTTGACGATGTAGAACATTCAATAGTCAAAGAGCTAAAATGTACCCATAATATATTTCTGAAAAAGGATCTTGTACAAGTTTTAAGAAAATAAAAATATCGGGGCTAATAATCTTGTGAGCTAATTTTCCTTTAACTTTACCCCAACCATTTAGATTGGTTTTAAGTTACAACAATATTGAGAGCAATACACACAATACATATACATATTGTGCGCTTTTCCAGACACTTTTTGCCTCGCACAACCAATCAGTGGAACGAGTTATCGTCTGCGGTATTTCCAGACCGATACGACCTTCAAACCTTCAAGAAAAGAGCGTACTCCTTCCTAAATAGCCGGCAACGCGTTTGTGACTCCTGAGTTGCAGACGTTCATGGGCGGAGATGGTCAATTTCCATTTGATATACCTTACATACCAGTCGTATTTACGAGTAAATAAATGGTCTATAACTTGCTACTGTAGCCATTTTCAGCTCTGGACTACTCACGCACTTTTGCAGAAACTTTGGAAAATATATATAGCTAGCTGTATCCTGCCACGCTGCGCTTTCGAATTTTGTGGTTTTATTGATGAGTAATGAGGATCAAAACTGATAACTAGAAATACTTAGATAAAAACAATCTTTGAAGCGAAATGTATATCGTGTCTGTCTGTAACTTTTTAAGGGTACACAAACCAACTTCACATATTTTTTTTTGTAAATATGGCATAGGCATAAAAATGATTTCTTATAAATTAAGTTTTTTTTTTTCAAAAATCATTAATGAATAGTCGTCAAACTCCAAAATTACTTGGTAACGAAGTTTGTTCAGCCAAGTATGACTTCATACCAGGCTGAACAAACGAGAAGCCATCTACAAAGTGGATCACGTTGTAGCTGTACACTGCCTTTTTGAGTTTGCTTTTTTCGTTTGTACCACTTTTTGGGCTTCACAATGAAACGAAACATAAACGTTCTTTTGGAGTTTTAGTTAATAGTGAAAGCAAGTTAATGTCGACAAAAATGATCATTTATTTTCAAAACAATTTAGGAATTTAAACCAACTTTAATAAAAGGTGACGGACTAAGAATATGGAGTGTCGAGCTAACTAAGGGAGCAAACTACGCAGGACACAGCACTGTAAAGAGAAGGAAAACTTGACACAAAGCCTATACCAACCTGTCTGGCCAGCGTGGTATAGTAAGCCGAATCTCCTTTCTAAAGAATGCCTTAGTCCAGTAGTGGACTATTAAAGGCTGTTGATGATGATGTAATGTAAATAAAAGATTATGAATTATGTTGTATTTTTTAGTTTGTTATCTCAGAACTCCATCACTTATGGATCGATTTGAAATACTTTTTTGTTTGGAAGGATATTATACCATTATAAGGTGGCAAAGTAAGGATTTCCAAATACAGTTACTGTTTATCATATTTGATCATGATGCAAGCGCATTATAGTCAGAAGTCGGTGATACATTTTGAAAGTTACTTATAATAGACACTATAATGTATTGACAGGCCTGTTGGTCTAGTGGTTAGTGACCCTGACTGCTAAACCGGAGGTCGTGGGTTCGATTCCCACCCAGGACAAATATTGTGTGATGAGCACGGTCATTTGTTTTGTGTCTGGGTGTAATTTATCTATAATATGTATGTATTTAAAAATATATAGGTATGTTTATTAGCATAGTACAGGCTCTGCCTAGTTTGGGATCAGACGGCCGTGTGTGAGATGTGTGATACGTATTATTAAAAAAAAAAGATCAAAGTAAAAAAATAGTTTCGTAATTAAATACATAAAATAGTCGGTAAACAAAAATACTGTTAAATGTTATAATTATACAGATATTCTTCCTCACTTTTCATCTTTTTTATAAGGCTCTAGCTATCAATTACCTGCTACTAAGGAAATGCCGCGAATGACCATAATTCGATCATCATTGATTATATTATGTAACGATGTCGAAGGTTGATTAAAATTTCAAGAGGGAAGACATTCAAGTTCTTCTAGTAAAGAAACTTGATGTAGAATATTCCATTATATAGATAATGCAATCAGATTGTCTACCTGATACAGCGAAATTGTTTGGGGTTTCATCCGTTCATAGCAAAATTCTTTAAGTTCATATTGTAGGTAATACATTACAAATGTACTTTATGTTCTTTATTTTTTTGTGAGAATATAGTGCTATAGGACTAGACATATAACAAAGATTGAACAGAAGAAACAGATGAGGAAGCAGGACAGGAAGCATCGACTATCAATCACTTGTGTCAAAATATGCTTTCATGCCTAAACCACTGAACCGATTTTAAAAATTATTTAACTAAGCTTCATTATCAGCGAGTAACATTAGCTACGTTTTACATACATGCGTCCAAAAGCTAGATTAATATAAATATTTAATATCACTGTTTTCTCACAAATCATCGGGGATTTCAATACAATTTTCAGTGGATCAAGACAACATACTTAATTGTAATTTTGTTATGAATTCCACTCAGCAACCTACGTGCTCCTCGAGTTTTAGTTCCGAAACAATTTTAAACGAGTTATGTAACACTTTTCATGCGGGATAGTTACGTAATGCTATAGTCAGAGTTCAAGAAACTTGTATGACCTGGAGACTTAACTCGCAGCCAAATTTGCATTATTCACTAAATATGGAAATGATCAGAAATTGTGCCATCATCATCATCACATCAACAGCCTATAACAGTCCACTGCTGGACATAGGCCGCTCCTTAGAAAGGAGGAGGTAGAAATTTTGCCAAAATAAACGAATCAGTAACACCAAATGATCAAACATTTTTTGGAAGACAATAATTCAGCAACTCTCAGTTAATACACTAAGCTTGAAAACTGTGTATTTACGAATATTGCTGCGTTTGGAATATTACTGTAGTATTCAGATGTCTTGTTCCGCAAGCGGTAAAAGATGATAAATTCATGACTTTTTGAAGGACGGTTTAAGTTACTACATTCTGTTGTTAAATTTGGCTTGTTTGTCATTGTATACTCGGGAATTAGTCATTTTTAATTCTTACTCCATTGTTTCAACTAAGTATAAAAGACAATAATCAAATATACTGGTAATAAAAGAATTGCTTACTGTTACATAGTTAAATATTTACCAGGATGTCATCAGAGGCCTAATTACGTACAATTAATAGTTTTGTCATGATTTTTTTCTTAATCTTAAAACGGGTTTATGCAATTTATGAGATAAATAAAATTTTCTAGCATTTTTACATTACTTCAATAGATTTCATACAAACCTACTGTTGGCTGCAGCAGCACTTGTACGATGCGAAAATTCTTTGAACCGAGTCCGGCTTAATGCAGTTACACCAATCGAGACTCTGTATACTTATAACTTTGAGCATCTTAGGTTTCACACAATATAGGAAGTGTGAACGCGAAGCCTTAAAGTCGTAATAATAATAATGTAGCAAACTAATCATATCTAATTAGAAAACTAAGTGGTCCAATAAACTATTTAACTTAACTGCCGTCAATCTGACTATGAGACTACCGCTATTATAACCCTTTTCACTATTGTTTTACTGTCAAAGTCTTAAAGTAATTGGAGGGGGGGGGGGGCTTGGCGCTGATAATTGAAATTCAGGCTTGGCCTAGTTTGATTATAAATGCTACATTAATTGGTTTGTAAAAATATTGCCAAATTATCTGAA